GACAATACTATCAAGCTCTGGGATACAACAACGGGCACAGAGCGCCAGACCCTCGAGGGCCATTCAAGTTCGGTCGAGACAGTTCTGAATAAAATTACCTCTCACCCACAAGTAAGCCTATCGAATACTTGGATCTCTTTAGGAGGCGAGAATTTTCTGTGGCTCCCTGCTGAATATCGTTCTTTTCTTTCTTATGCGGTCAAAGACACTACAATTGCGTTAGGGTATAGGGACGGGCGGGTCTGTATAATAGGATTCCACTCGTAGATTAATATCACTTAAGTCTCTCAATTTCTAATCTCTTTGTAATGGAAGGGCCTGGGATATCTCAGATTTATATACAACTTTTAGCCTTGTACATAAGACCTATCCAGTGGTTTCTAGATGATTCTGTAAATATGGCCAACTTGCCACTTACTCTTGTTCCAGATGGTTCCGAGCCAAGGCACAAAAGCCAAAATTACTGGGATATATGTTTTATGTAATATTACACGTCAGTACAGGACGCGGCACTGGCCGGGAGAATCATTATTCCATTCCATTCCCAATCAAGCCTAGCTTAGTTTCACACTAGGGTTGCTGAAACAATTGAAGAGTATAAGTGGTGACACCGGTATCCGGACAACCTGTAGCTCCCCAAATTATCCATAATACCTGGCCAAACACTTCAAGCTTTTTGCAGTCGTTTTCTGAGGGTGCCTAGCTTTGGTCGAAAATGGGAATCATATGACGAGAACCCATGGTTTTGTATGTATGGCTAGTTAACTGGTGCTTCACCGAAAGGTTGTCATGCGGAGCTCCTATCAATACTTTATCCTTTAACACAGCCATCTGTCCTAGTTATTTCATTGGAAAGTTCTTTGCAGACTATACTGTACTGTATGATCACATTAATTGTTCTAGGGTTGCAGAACGTAACCGTAGAATATCAACTAGCTAACAAATCAAGTTCAAGGGAAATTTTTTGAAAGGAGCGTGATATACTATAACTTAAGGGAAGTGTCCTAACCTCAGAGATATTCTTCATAATAAGTAGGCGTTAGGGTCAACATCAATTTTTCCCCTCATCGCTTAAACTCTTGTAATGTCATGATTCATTGCTAAAGATTCATCGTTAATATAATATAAGAATCGTGGATTTGCCACCAACTCCATTCCTTTTGCAATCCGTTTCCCGACTCATATAGCCTTTGACTAGTAAACAGGCTCTAAAATGTCCTATAATGTATAGCCTAGCCCGTTCTATTAATATAATTTTGGGAGGGCAGCTGCAGGTATACAGTATAACCTTTGTGCCTGGGGTTTAACTCAAAAATGTACATAATGTCCTCACACAGTACTGTTGGAGCACGAGAAGAAGCATTCTAAGTTTCCCCTATCTTCACTTATGGTCATAATTACGGTGCTGGAGATAAGATATGTCTACCTGAACATCTTGAGAGAAACTAAGGGCCGTCCGGGGCTGAGAAATATGTCACCCAGCCAGTTATAGTTCTCATTGTACTCTCCTATAACCTAGGGCATCATTAAACTACTGGCATATACTTTCCTTCTTAAAAGATACACCTTTGAGTATATAGAAGCCAAGATAGGTCGCCATTTAAAGCATCCATAGCTGCTGGCTGTATACAATCACCATCTTGCCCGCTTGTTATATTCGATTTCCAAATTTACTCACGTTCTGTCTCGATCAGAATGAAATTATCCATGGCTTTGAGACCCGAAGTCGATCTTGAGTTCCAACGTGTTAAGAAAATTAGAGAAATAAGCCTAAACCACGATATTCTCAATTTTATCGAGCTAGCACATGCGTCATTCCAACAAGGGAGGGCGTCAAATCCCCGGGGCCCCTTTGAGAGGTCTCTTCTTCACTATGCGGCCATGGGGAATTGTACCGAACTTCTCCGCTTGCTACTTCAAACTGGAGTACCTATAGATGATTGTGACCAGAATAAGCGAACACCCCTCTCTTGGGCTGCAGAATACGGAGCATTAGATGCAGTAATGCTTCTAGTGGAAAATGGAGCCAAAGTAAATTCCATTGACGATACGCTCAATTCCCCCTTGGCATGGTCACTATCAGCAGGTATGGGCCAGATAGTGGAGACAAGATCCTTCCTTAGGCAAAAAGGTGCGAGACAACGATGGATACTGAGGAGAATAATTCGTGTTTTGGTATCGCGGAAATAGTGACTAGCCACATTCCATTTATAGCTAGGATTGCGAGTGGTGGGGTTACATATGATTACAGTATGCTACCAGATATTTATAATTGTAGGTATTGCGTTAGTCTTGGTAGTTTTAGCAATGATACTAGATATATAGCTTCTCTTACCGAAGTACTTACACAGGCTCTCCTTTTCAAAATAACTCTACTAGCTGGGTAGCAGCTCTAAATAGCAGTCCTGATCCCCTGTTCCTTTCGGTATACGCCAAGAGGCCCAGACTATTCTGAGAAGAATATTATACTTTCACAGGATTCATAAAATGGGACCCTCGTTTACATTTATTCCGTGCCGCAACTAGGTGATTGGCTCTGTCACTTTGTCAACAGCAATGAGCAAACTATGAATCCCGGCAATTCCACTGGAATAGGACAGGTTACGCAGTTTTCATACCCCAAATTACAAAGGAGTCAGCTCAAAAATTCATGACTTTCTCATATATACGATACTAGATAAGAGCACACTCCTACAGTCGGCGGCTAGATTTCCGAGTGTCTCCCGTAGCTCAATTCGGAACTCTATTAGTGTAATTGTCCGATGGTACGTCGCTTTCCTTTTTCGTTGCGGCTTTCCGGTGCGTAGCGCTTCCGATTTCTTACCGGGTATCTATGACGATTATGGTTGAATGCGCGAATGGCCAATTCATCCCCTTTTCCTATCGCAATATCGAAGGCGCTTTGGTGGTGTTCGTCCAGTAGTGTTTGGTCGGCACCGCTGGCAAGGAGATATGTGATACTAACAGCAGAGGACGTCCGCGCAGCCACATGTAGTGGTCGTTCACCTCTCAGCATTGCATTTGGGTCTCCGTTCAACAGGTCTGCCAATTCGAGATTGCTTTTGCGAATTGCTATCATATATGCATGCTGGCTGTGATAACCATAAGCCAGTAGAAGTCGAACCATATCCATTGTACCGTAAGATGTGGCAATGTCCAATATTTCGGGTTCCTGGGAAAGTGTCCCAGCCTCCAGAATTCCTTTAACTTCCTCGATGTGATTTCCTAGGACCATATGTGGAAGTGCAGCCTTTGGACTATGTTGGATGAGGAGGTTTCTCACTGCCTTTTTTTTGGCTATTTCAAATGGTAGCCGCAGACGTCTCCAGCGTTCTGGTATGACGTTATCTCTATCCCATCGAAGAATAACGTCAACTATATCCTCCTTGCCATTCTCTGCAGCTGCCCACAGTGCTTCTGAATAATCAGTATAGGGCCCCAGATCAAGCAACGCTTTGACAGCCTCTAGATTGCCCCTTTCTGATGCCTCCGAAGCCGCAATTTCTAAATTCAATGTAGATACCCAATCATTGTGGACGATAAATTTGACGATCTCAGCATAATTGCATCTCATAGCTTCGAAAAAGGCGGCTGTAGGGGTAGCAATTGTACGCTTGCCGATGAGAGCTTTCAGCTTTCTCTCTGCGCGTGATAAGCAATAAAGGGAGCAGCCATCCAGGTACGAGATCACAAGCAAGAGTAGCTCATCAGGAAGATTCAGCAAAAACATCGTCTCTGAGAATGCGGGATAAACTAAACTTGTAAAAACTGTCATCCAGTTCACTGAGGTGGTGTGGAAAAGGAGGCCCGAATTTTGGGGACAGCAAAAGATCCCGTCCAGATGATCATTTCTACCCCCTAACTACATTTAGTTACGGAAGAACGAAAGGGCCGGTCCAACCTTTGGCACATACAAGCGCAGTAGTCACCTGATGGTAATATCGTGCGAACTGCAAATCACGACCCTTCCTGCTCCTTCATCGTCTGATTGTAAGGTAAAGCCACGCAGAAAATGCACTCTCGAGACGTACAAAATCTGGAAAGCTTACGTGACCAGACCTAGTGGTTCTTTAATCTTGCAGTAAGCTGCACTGTCACAGACTCTTTGTTTTAAACTGCGTAGGACTAGGGCTTTTCATGCCTGCGCGATCTCTTCTCCACGGCTATAGTACATTCGGCAACACTCTACGAATCAGGCTGGCTTTCCCCTTGAGATTCAGCAAGTGACGCAACCCATATATAGGATTCAAGCCATTCAAGCATGTTTTAGCTACACCCATCACTCGCATTTCTATAATACTGCCTGGACAGGGAGTACAGGAGCTGAGACAGCTCTCCCCAGAGCAGATTCCATTTCGCGCAGCGGCAGTAGATTTTGAGGAGGTTGGAAACCGGCGCAGGAACCAGCCACGGTATCCTAGGGGAGAAAGCGCTCCTGAGGCTAAAGCGTATCATCCCAGGAGCAAGGTGTTTCCGGTCCGACTCTGCCGTATCCATGTCTGGTGGAAATGCATTGCCCGTGCGATTCTCGTTTCCTTTGCTGAGAAGACCCCGTGCTACCATTAGCACAATAGGCCCCAAGTTCAACGTTATGCAGATTTACCTCCTGGAGGTGTTTCTTCGTTTACACATTACCAGAAGTTTAGGTCCTCGTTATGTATACTGTACCACCGGCCATTGCAGCTTGGTTGCTGGAAATCAAACGACGCCTAAGCAAAGTCAACTAAAAGGTGGTGTGGACAGATAGCTACCAGCGATAATTATCGCGATCCGGGTTTTACGGCTAGACCCGCTTAGCCTGGGAACGAGATACTTCCAAAAGAGAATAAGTTTCTTTACGCATAGGCTTTTAGAAGTAGTCAAAGGATACAAGACCTGGACATCGGTTAGACCTGGAGATAAACATTAACTACTGAAGTGGTCTGTAAGGCGGATAGTGTCACAGAATTTATAACGATCATGCAAGGACTGTACAGTATACCCTGTCCCAGGTGCATGGACATCCCGGTGGCCGGACGGCGCCTCCGGTGTCTATATCAGTCACCTTTCTAACAACGAACAGTGGCCCCTCTCTGAGGATTGATCACTATCTACAGAGAACTCCAGAGGTCCTTGGCTATAAATTAGTACTGTAATCAGTAGTGGGAATATCAAGAATCAGTCTTCTGTCGATAGACTATCTACTGTCGTTTTGCCTACTGTACCTTCTTACCACATCTTTCGTTTATGTTAGTTTTACAAGTGAAATTCGATGCATAGCTGCAACTTCCTTGCAAGCTAATCAAACAGTACACGTTGCCAATCATTCTTGCTGATACTATACCCTTCGTGATTAACTGCATCCATGAAGCTAGTCTTCCGACAGCCCCGCATCCTTATTTGAATAAGACACAATATGTGCATGGATAAGACCAAGTTCACTAGTTTTGATGACCCTGGCTCTGCGGCCATTTGTGGAGAGGCACGTCGGTGGGTTGAAAACATAGGCGTGTCCCAAAAAATGCTATGGCGATTTGTCGCCTGCTAAGCAAGCCGCACTGATCAGCCAGTACGAGGACACTGTAATAATCAGCAGTATAATCATTTTAAGAAAGACGCGCAGTACATTTCAGGCTGTCACCATTATCAGGGGCAAGGGGGGATGAGTTCGGGCATAGTGTCGCCTGAAAAGCCTACATCTAGTTTTCCCTATCTCGTCTGCAGTAAATATATTTGTTGTACGCTTAAGTTTATCTAAATCTTAATGGTGCTGCTTATGAATTGTCTTTAAAGAATGCCCCCGTTATTCTTCTTAATGAAATACATAGAACCCTCTCTGAATTGTAATGTTAATGGCTCAATATCGTAGGTTAATGTCCATGCCAATTTTCTAGACATGGCTGCTGATGACAATACGCATCCTGGGCCACATGGTTAGTTCCCTTTACATCATGTATTGTCAAAATCTACTTGGCAAAAAAGTGGTACAGTACGAAATTGGAAACAGTAGTGAAGACAAGATCTTCCAGTCACTGTCCTTGAGATTTGCTAGAACAACAGCTTGAGCTAGATAGATCAATCGGCATCATTCTTCACCTCAATAATACTCTTGACACTGATATTGCACGTTAGCAGCAATGGCGAGATGTTCCAGAGTCGCTGTAGATAGCGTAAGTGCCGTGCATAGAGCATGAGTCAATATCTTTCTCTTCTTCACGACACAATGAAAAATGCTTTTGGTTTTATTTCTTCTCCTTATTAATCGAGCTGCTAATCCCAGTGCTTGACAATATTTGCTTCGTTGAATAGCGCTGTGCAACGCTGTTCTAATACGACCATTCCTGCGATGCCTTTTGGTGAGCACCGTCCGCATGTGGTTTATGATGTTATTCATCAACATCGCCTTATGAGACTTAGTCAGGAGTACTTGCTCTTGCGGCAGCCGCTGTTTCTCTGGAACCATGTATTGATGTTGTTCCAAATGAAATTCAGTGGCCAACCGTGAACTTCTGGCTAAACCCGGGGCCTTGAGCAAGATTCGGTCAAAGAGTGGTAATAGTAAGCTATAGTATATGATAGAGGCGCAAGTATGGATGCTCATGGAAAATTCTTTAGTTCTATCTGACTTTACTTCGTGCCGTGATCCATGAATTTCTTGGAAAAGGAGCAAAACATCGTCATCATCTTGCCTTGACTCGGCTGCCGCCGGATGGTCGATATGATCTTCTTTGGAGGTGACGCTAACTACGCGGTCATCTTGAGGCTTTGGTGCGTGTAGCAGTACCAAAGCCAAAGAGATACACAGGCGAGATAATACCAAGTCTGAACGAGGGAAGTTTTGTCTGATCGATGCCACTGCTTTGTTTTCCATGTTTTGCTGCCTGATATTGGTTGGCTAAGATAATTGTAATGCGAAAAGTTCATACGCTGCTGAATTGATGTGCCATCTAGGCGTTTACTCACATATAACTTGATCATTAAGTGATGTTAGAATAACACGTTTCTAAGGTTCAAACTAGACATCTATTATACTTGACCTGTACCCCTATTTATGGCCGGCTTAAGAATTTTAAGTTGTGAAATCAATATATAAACTTGGAGTTAAAGTTTCTATTTTGAAATTGCTATGCATAGTGTCAGAAAGTCGGGGTACACATTGTTTTGGTCCTTTATTAAAGGCTCAAGCGATTGAAGCTTGCGGCCTCAAGTTATGCTGTTTCGGTGGGAATATCTAGCCCTTTTTTCTTTTTTTAAAAAAAGAAAAAGATTCTTCGGCGGTTCATGATTAGTCGCACAATGACGCAAATATAGTCAACCCCGCATTTGTGCGTGTTGAGACGGACCATATTAGCTTTTACGGACCGAATAATATGATCAGGCGATCAGTTTATGTGTATGTATAGGTCTAACCACATCTTTATCGTGGCCCGCCCAAGTATCTGCTGCTTGACAAGTCGAGCCCATGGAGATCAATGAGGTTGTATTTTGGGAGGCACACATGGGTCTTTTGCCTTTTGCAGAGTAGATATAACATAAGAGAACACTGTTAGTAGTTTATCGGCCTTCTACGTATTAACTGGGAATAGATTCGTTTCCGAGCATTTTGGTTGTGACCATGCGATATTTTTTAATGAATATAATACTCATTACTACGTGGGCATTTTGAGCGACTAAGGTGTATTCTTAGGCGTATTTCTATCAATTGTCCGATACTGCGGTCCTCCAAGTATGGTATTATCTCAGCGCAAAGAAGAACATGATAGTAAGAGGGACGGATATTTCCTATCGACATAGTGCTGCCGTGTTAGGAGAAATAATACAAATTAAGAAAAGTCAATAAAGCTATCCCAATAGGGATCTCCAGCCAGATTGCTTTGGTTATGATCAATCGTGCTGGCTGTCGACCCCCAATCCACCTGCTCGACAGCATCTAAGAAGGTGGTCGAGACCTCCGACGAAGCGCTACTATCCACCGACAATCTTTGCTCCTCGACAGGACTGTGACACATGAGTAGCATAGAGCTCTCCTCTATACAGATATCTCCTCGAAGTGTGGGTGGTAATCTCCCAGCGAGCCGCGTTAACATATGTGACAAATGAGTTTTTATATTATCATCGCCACACTGCGAGTGCCTCCTCAGGATATCTTTCAGGAATAAGATCTCGCTTTGCATCTGGCTGACCTCTGCTTCGAGGATCTCTTTTCGTAACTTGGCGTTCTGGAAATGTTCCTCCAGTTGATCAGTGCATTCTTTCTTCTTCTTGCGACACCTCTTGGCCGCTTGTCGGTTGCGTTCTAGTGAGCTTTCGCTTTTGCGTTTCTTACTACACAGGCGATTACTCCCGGAAATGGTATGTATTTTGTGTCCAATTTGTGCGTCGTCATACTTCTCTAGTAGGTGAGGATTGGTGTCCGCCATTCGATATGAAGGGGGATCGAACTCAAAAAGATCGTTGTTCATCGTGTATAAGAGAATAGGAGAGAAGGCGTTTGCAGTTAGGGGCCAGTTGTTGTAGGTGTTTTGGGGAAAAGCAGCTGTAGCTGGGAACAAAGAAGCTGGTTCAAGTAATGATTTAGATCTAGAGTTTGTAAAATAGGGCTTGGGTGGACGAACATGTATTTGTTGAGTATAATAATCAAGAGCTGAGAGCAATAAGTGTAGATAGTATGTAATTGCTTGTACTTGGTAGATAGAGGTCATGGTGGACGGCTTTTCAGGCCTTTAAATATATTAGACGGCTAATATAAGAGTATCCTCGGGATTTAGGTGATATCATCGCGGATATGTATGGAATTAGAACATATGCAATGGTGGGGAAGTGAAATTATAAACATTATGAGTGCCTTATCATTTAGGGAATAGTAATAAAGAGCTCGTACGGTTCCGGAATATATGATTAGAGATGATTATGGTAAGAGGATTGATTCGATAGAGATGGAGCTGGATACATCATAGATTCGAATTCTAACATCACCATGAACAAATTCTATCAACAAATGGTTGGATGGAGCAAACTTTCGATCGGATACTGTCGGAAGAATACCAGTCAATATTGATTGGCTTCCAACGCCCCATAGATAAGTCAGCGGCAACTCTTGGCAGGTTATTTAGCCAACCATGTTTCAGTAATGCTTCGTCTCCTATACCTTTGATGGTATATATTTGTCAAGTAGAATTTGATAAAACTTAAAAGACAAGACACTAAACCCAACACACTTTAAATGATTCAGCTTAGGCAACAATATTCAAAAAATATAATGAAATCGGCTGATCTACTAAATAGCCCTACAGCGGCTATGGAAGTATGAATCCCCTAAAAAAAAATAACAGCTGACGGGCCGAATGAACCAGTCAATAATCTAGTAATGTAGTGATAACTAGGATGAGAAGCCAACTGCTCCGCTACCGACACATATATCAATCAAGTCATCATGATCTCCGGTACTAGATGATTTGCTCAAGGGACATCCTCTACCCAATGCAGTATTATTTTGATACAGCAGGTATAGATCTCAAACCCCTTCGTCTCCACCATATGTCAGTGGTCCATCTTTCTCGGTATGTGTAGAAGGATAAGTTGAAGCGAAGTTACAGCAACAACTTTTAGAGTAGTCTTCAGATTCATCACGTGTAGTGTCTGCCGAACTCGTTTGGTTTGTGCGCCCGTTGCTATAAAAGCGTTCCAGAAAAGATCGAGCTTCTGTTCGGAGGGACTCTTGCCTCGGTATATGTTCACTAAAAGGGGAGCAATAACTGGTGGTTGTTTCGGCTTCGTGGTATTGTGTCGAGTTAGTCTCAGGTTTATAGGTTAGAACAGTCATTTTCACGATGTATCTCTTTCGCATGTCGATTAAAACATATTAGACTGCCTTTGCAACTCCATATATATGTATTCCTGTGTGACTTGGATCATTCTTGATCCGCCACACACAATTACTTCTTAGAGAAAAGCCGTACGTCACATGCCTCATTATCGCATACTTACATCAAGGTTGGTCATTACTAATCTTAATAAATGTTACAGGGCATCCTGTTCGTTAATCCAAACTCGCTCTACTGTAACAAAGCTTCCAGTCTGCTCTGTGAACTATTGTAGGACCAAGGAACTGCTCTGTAGACAGAATAAGGTAGGTATAATATTACAAATTTATATTCACAAAAGGTATAGTTCCCCAGAGTTGCGGAATAGGTCACAGACCTATTACCCCCCTTAGCAAATCGTCACGCGCACAACTATAAAGTATGCATGGGGCGAGGCAGTCCCGTGGATCAGTATTGGGTGGCGTATATTAGCAGATCAATCAACGATTGATATGCTTTTATGGAGGCTTCAGAGCTATCTATAAATACGGCACCGGTTTCACCATTACTGGACTGTGAGCAGATCATACACATTCATATCAGCTCCAATTTCCAACTGCTTGCTGTGCTAGCACTTTATTGGCACACCACAATAACCTGTGTACGGATCATGCCGGAATGATATAAACACTAAACCAAAGCTGAGCAATCGTGTCCTTCGAGAAGTCATATTCAGTGATTACTTGATCGTTCTACAGCAATATGGTTATATGCCGAGTCGACTTGCTTTATATTTGTCGAACTAAATTAGCAAAAGAAGCGTCTAGGCAAGATCCACGCCTCTGGGTGGTAGTGGGTCACGCAAACTTATTGGACACGTTAATATCAAGCTTTACAGAAAAGTTAAGCTCAATCTGCTCATCACCATCAGAAATAACAATGGAGGAGACTAACTGACTAGAGGTACAAGGCATATAGTTCCACGTGATTCGATGCTTGCCGAAGATGAATATACGCACGAAAATGGAAATACACAAGAAGAAACGATAGTGGCGAAGACTCCGACCTATAATGGTATAACAACGTCCCCAAGGAATCATATTTCTATGAGCTTGGTCAACTAAGCGTATGGCGACCCGTTTAAAGGAAAAGAGGTATACGTAGAGAATGCTGGGCAAAGTTTTATTCAGGATATTGCACTGTCTGGAAAATGTCCAGAGCGGGGATCAGGTAATATTATTTTACAATAATATATCAGAAGAGAGCGCCTCTATACTTATGGTGTGATGGAAATATTCCAGTTTCTTGAAGATCCTGGGTGAATCATTCCTTGTTTGCCTTTCTTGGAACATTAGGCGTAGTATGATGCATAGTTATAGTATATTCATGTTATATTCATGGCAATTCTCACCCCTTATCCTTTCCTTTTGGATTCTTATTGCTTATTATTTTGGGTGGGCCACCTTTGGCATATGGCTGCTAGATGGAATTCCGGTGTAGTATAAACTTTATGGACAAAGTTTTGTCCTTTTCCTGTGGCAACAGCTGAACGTCTGTTGAGCCCGTAATACGAAAAAAGCATAACTTTTATTCTGGATAGAAGCCTGTCTACAAACTTCGCTTAGTAGGGTTGAACGATTGTACTTTGAACACTTCCAAATTAGCCAATATATAAGATGTCGTGAACAACTGAGCTGTCGTGGCGACCTCCACCCTATATCCAAGGCAACTAACCCTACATGCCCCATGTAAAATAAGTCATTCTTGAACTATGGGCCCCACCGATCGATTTTTTAGAGCGAGCATAGCACTAGTATCACCTGCCTGAACCAACGATTTGGCCATCCACCTTAATTCCTCAGGTGTTCAACATTAATCCACGAAATATGACCCAGCTGTTGGTATTAGCCAAAAAACAGATTAATAAGTGTACACTATAAGTTTTACCTGTCAATAAATGTTATGCAGTAAATTAAACAATACTACAGGTCGCAATCACTACATCCACGAGGAAACACTTTAGCAATCCAGAGAGGGTACCAAGTTATGAGTTTATTGGATCATAGAGATTATATTACAGCGAGCTGCAATATTAGCATGTCTAACCCCCTCTTTCATGGTTTCTACAAATCCTAAGCCGTCAGATCGCTAATTCATAAGACTTGTAGCAGTGGCTTTGAGATGAGTTTCATACCCATTAACAGCTGAGTCCCTATGCCAAGGCGTGTTCAAAAGAAGTGAATGGATCTTTCTGCGCAAGCTGATTTCACAGCGAACCGAATCTGATTCAATGATGTCTTGTCACTCAAGCTGTGAGACCCCAAGACCCACCCAGGCTCAAAACCGTGTGGTCGAATGGCATAACAACAGAAGAGTACTGTTTCCTGCTTTCAATCTGTAGTAAGGGGAAACAGCCATTCTTTGAGTACTGAGTTGAAAAGGTTAAGAAAAATATAAAACATTAGAGGCAACAGTGGGAGTATGACTGTTGACATATAGTAGTCCAGTATGTAACGTTGAATGGGACTGCTTATTATATCTAAGGACTAATCAAACTATAGCATTCGAATTGTACAAAGTTTGGCGTCAAGGTAGGTTAAAGGAGCAAGATCACGACTAACTGGCAAGAACCTATCGGCGGGTAGGCGTTCCTTGAACCCAAAACTCGCACTTGACGAGGTTTAGGGCATGCTTGTTAGCCTGCTATCAGCTGGTCCTAGCAAGGTGCAAAAGCTACAGATAAGTGCGATATGGCATCTAAGCATTCATAGAAGGAAGCTTGAAAGAGCAGTCATACATTTCTTGAGGAAGTTCTGTAGAAGTATCACAAAAAGTCCATTGGAGCAGCTGCACTGTACCTGGTCCTTTCATGATCCAGTATTGCCTTGTATAATCTGTTTGTTTCTCGTTCAGAACCCAAGTCGACAGGTTGCAGGCCTTTCCCCAGGTGCTGCATCTGCATAAGCGCCGCAACAGAAGTAAGATGGAAGTTATCTGTGTCAATCTTGATCGGAGGGGCTGTTTCGACACTTCCAGACAAAATATGCGAACATAAATGAGGTTCTTGGCATAGGGGCCGTGCTAGGCCTATGCCATCTACCTCCTGCACGGCGCGTATCATACCTTTGACAGAGCGATATCCTCCAGTTACGTAAACCTTTGTCCGCTCCATCCTCTCCGAATAGATTCTCCCGTACTCTAAGAAGAACTGCAGGCCAGTGTCACTAGGTTACCCATCGAAGTTGTCATGTTTCCTCCTGTTAACTTACCCCCTCATGCTGTGGTATAGAAGTGACCTGCTTGCGACCGATTGTCCAATCCTCATAAGTGCCGCCGGACAATTCAACAAAATCGAAACGCATTTTCTCAAGTTCAATGCACAGTTGAACGGTCTCTTCCAAGTTAAAGGCGCTCTCCTGGAATTCAACAGCGTTCATCTTAATACCAACGATAAAGGTTTCTGCCACTCGTTCGGATATTGCCTTTCGAATCTCGGATATCAGCTTCATTCTGTTCTTTATGCTGCCCCCGTAATTATCTTGACGTTTGTTTGTTCGGGGCGACAGGAATTGGCTTAGCAGGTGCCCATGAGCTGCTTGCAGCTGGATACCGTCGAACCCAGCCTTTTCAGCATATGCGGCGGCATGAGCAAAACCCTCCACAATATAGTTGATGTCCTCCCTTTTTGCTTCCCGGGGCTTACCAAAATCAGCCCCAAAACTCCCTCCGCTCACCCCGATGTCGCTCGCACTAATTGGAAATGGTTGCAGGTATACCGGGGTCTGACGACCGGGGTGGCATAGTTGAGCAATAATGAGGGAGCCATGACGTTTTGCTTCCAATGCGATTTTACTGAATCTCTCAAATCGCAAACCCTCAAACGGTGCATCTATAGGTATGATAGGATCTCCGGCTGACACGAGATGCTGAGGATCGATCATAATATTACCAGTAATGATAACTCCAATGTCACCCTCGCCCCAGCGCCGGTATAAGTTGACGAGCTCAGCAGAAGGGATTCCACGAGAGCCAGAATCAGAAGCAGAGAAAGACGCCATGCATTCGGCTGTAGAGCTCTTCAGTAAGCGGTTTATGGCCCACTTACCCGAGAATGAGAATAACAGACGGCGTCCCAATAGGTCTGGGCTGATGCTCTCCGGACCAGTAGAAGATGGCATTTTTTTGGTGATTTTCTTTGTTGTCAGGTTGTGTAATAATACTTATAGATGTTTTAAGCAAAAGGGCCGTCCTGTTTAGGTAATCCTTAACTGGGTCTTGGTAATAATACACAGTCTCTTCTATACCTTATGCGGTTAATGTATGAAACGAATATGTTAGTGCAAAGCAGCTTACAGTAATATTATGTTCTACAGGCTCTAGAGTGTTCAATCCGAGAACTAATAATTAATCATCTTACATATGTTGGGTTAGTACGTTGATCACAAGCCCACAGATAGCTTCGACACCCAATTTCCGCAGTAGGATTGTTCAAATCGCGGGATCAGTAAATGTAGTAATAGACTATTGGACCTAGGTAGTTAAGCACCTTCTAGCACAGGGTTGTCGTCCTCGCTCTAACCTTTACAGTGCTGGGGCTAATATCCGTTTCCTATTTTGCTGAGTTTAATTTGTTTTGTGTAGCACCGCCCGGTGGGGTTCGAGCGAAGTGGGGACGAGAGCCACTTCAAAAAAAGGTTTGAAAAATCTAAGAACGTTCAACTTGTTCAACCAAATGCAGAATGATAACCATTTCTACCTTAATGTGCTTAGTCGGTTGTGTTCATTCTTCCAAAAAAGAGGCATAGGTTTTTACTTCTAAGGCATTCGCCTTCCTGGGCAGTATGCGATTCCTTTCAACAAAACGAATACTCGTAAAACCTGATTAAGGGACTATATTTTACCGCATGATTGCAGACCTGGTACCAAAAGTCAATGAACATGTTCAACAAATCAATATTTTCTTCTCTAGTACCTTCACTTGCCCCTGGTTTCTTAGGTGTTTCACCAAGCTTTCTGCATATGATGTCTTAGAAGACTCGGTCTTAGTATAAATGCTTGAAACGCAGACTTAAGCCTACCCAGCACTTTTCTTAGTGCCGGCCTTGACTGATACCGGCCACGACTTACCTTCTAGAAATATTCCTTTACTAGATGATACGAGTGTATCCAATTGGAAATCACCTTTCACAATGACTGGAATCACTGCAATGATCAAAGCGGCCATTAGGTGAGTACTGATTAATATGTGAACGAAAGAGCCGGTAACTGAGTCAAATAGAGTGCCACATATGGAGGTTAATAGGATGAATTCTGCCCGTGTACTCCAATGCTTAAGCGGAGAGAAGAGGTCCCTCGGTCTCTATACGCTTGGCTTCTCCTATTATGCGGAGATGTACCTCGCCTTCGAGGAAGCATGGAGAGACCTTAGGGACTGGATTGTCAAGTATCCCTGCAGCTCAACTAGTCCCACTTACGAAAAGAGAATCTCAGATCTCTTAAAGCTTCTTAGCATGGTCGACCTTTATCGGACAGAGCGGCTTATAGAAGATCTTAGGAGACTACACTCCTCTTACCCCGCCATGACCAATCTGACTACCAATGAGTCGCACGACATGCACATAAAAGATGTCATCAAACGCCGCATAAATGAGAACCCGCACAAACTGCTCGCGTACGTCTGGGTACTCTACTCGGCTTTGTTTAACGGCGGCCGATTTATTCGCCAAGTGATACTCAAAGCTGGACCCGGATTTTGGGGTCTAACCACGGATGACGAAATCCAATCCTTTCCACCTCCTTTGTCCTTTTGGGCAGTTAATAATGACCCGGAGTTCCACGAAGCTTTTAAATCTCGAGTGAACGAGGCCGGTGAGCTTTTGACTTTGCATGAAAGACAGGATGTGATTCAAGAATCGGTCTGGATCCTTCACAGGTGCAAGGAACTGACCGAGGAGCTTGATGAACGAGCAAAAGTATATAGAGATTTTTGACAGCCTGATGGATGACCTGAACGTGGTCCTCTAGAAGGCTTCAACCACATGTGCAGCAATAGCCAACGAGGCGGCACGAATTTTAATCAATATATGGATTGCAAAAACTATGTATGATATATGGAAGAGCCTCTCGATAAATCGAAGGGTCTTGTTCCCATTCCATTATATGTATGAACAAAATTAGAATACTTGACAGGAGCAAGTGTCTTGTGATGCATCTGAAGCACTCTGTACAGCAGTTAGAACGAGATATACATGCATTATAAAGATAACAAAACACTACTCTCGAGGAAGAATTCCATGGAATAAGAGCCTTATATCTTGCGACTGAGACAGGATCCAGAGAGATAGTTGAGATTTTTTTCGGGGACCTTCAAAATTGGTTGATAATGAGGGTCAACTGCCCGCGGGCTATGCGGAAGGGAGGCATCATATATTCTTCGAAAATTGGGAAAAAAAAAAAAAAAAAAAAAAAAAAAAACCTCCCGATGAATTACCCTTATAAAGCAACGTACTGTACAGTAGTAGTTACACATTCTGCTGCCTAGTAAGGGGCAAGATCCTGAGGCATAGAGGACAGTGATTGAAGACCCCTTCAAGAAGTCAATCTCTTCTTGAGCTCGATTCAGTGACCTGAGAAGTCAGCCTGCCCTTCTCAAAACGTTGCTTAAATAGAAACCCTGGTTTCACTATTTCATACAGGGAAATGAAAGTCATGAAGGAAGTATCTAGCCACTCAAGAAGGGCTGTTCTACATCCTCAGCAGGATAAATCTTATTGATAGTAATTTGAAACCCCAAAGTCCGTCAGACGCATATTCTTGGTTTAGGGAAAGTAAATTGGCCCCTACTCACAGATCATGCGAAGATGCCCAAGATTCCCAAGCAATTCTTGACCCCTTCGAAATAGTAGGATTAACTCAGAAACACCATATACCTTTGGCATTCGTTGATATACACCAAACTTTCCTGCCCTTCACAGCCACGAATCTCAGCAGTTTATAGCTGAGCCTCAATTCTAGTATCACCAACAAAATTTGGGGAAAGGAGCGTTGGCCTTATATATATGTATAAGCAAGACCTGCCCTGTCTTGGTCAAATATTGTATTACAATCGACCAAAATAATTGCAAAAGCGGAAGAGTTTATCATGGATCATCAATCTCCTTGGAATGCCGATATGCATCTGAATAGCATAGGAGAGACAATCAACCATGAGATACTCGAACAAACGGAATGGGAATTCGAGTCCGACTACTCGGAGCCCGGTTTCAATGATGAGAACTTCCTCGGCAACCAGGGGCCAAATAGTCCCGCTTGGGAAAATAAATACGCCAACTATGAACTTTTAGACTCAGATGACTCATTTGAGGGAGACACTGCAAATTCGGTGAGCGCTCTTTGGGCTACTATAATGAAAAGCATATTTATGGTGTTTACTCTAGGTTCTTAGCGAAGAGACTGACGGTATAACCATTCTTGGCGAACGAAAAGTTGACATAGCCAGTGGTAGAAAGACTCAGTTTCTTGTGCAGTGTTGGGTTGACGAAAAGCATATGGAACTGTTTATGGAGTTGATGAGAATGTCATAACTTTGACCTTATGGACGCCCGTACATATTTCCTTCATCGGTCCAGATCTGAGTTCGCGGGTGTACACCACATCAAACCATTTAAACCTCACTGTTGCACGCCCGCAGGAAACTGTACCAAGCCTGACATGTTATTGTCACAAAGAGGAGAAATGGAGAAGTAAAGATGGAGAATGTAGAGTGAATTTCCCTTATTCAGGGAGAAGGATAAAAAGGGAAAAAGAAAATAAAATAGTCAACTAAACTCTCAAAAGCCATAATTTCACTCCCTCTCCGTAGCGTCGTGGCTTCTACAAGAATATCTATTCGCTGGGAGGGCTACTGTACCATACTGTGCTAGTGAAGAAGTTGAAGAGGCATCTATACGGCGTCGTGCATCTGAAATCTCTCTGTAATCTACAGAAATGCGATAACAATAGCGAACACCGGATGAAATGACCAGAAAACCACCAGCGAAAGCGTTTTGTCAACCTGAAACTGTTTACCATCCTGCTGGTGTAAGGGCTCTCCACGATATATTGTATTTATTAATTTGTGATTTTCCAAGTATTACGAGGGCCTCAACAGATGGTTGCACGCTGCTCAACAACACACAGTGCTGGGCTTCGGCTCAATGCTCCCTAGACACCCTTTTATGATAGCTCTCACCACTAGCTAAGCCTCAAAGCGCGTGACAAACAAGAGTGGTGGGAGAAATCACATAATGAACCAGCATTGATTAGAAAGGCAATGTGCAAACTACCGCCTGGGGACGTATGCTTCTGATTCAAAGTGATACAGGAGCACATGTAAGAAGCAAAATTGTCTCTTTATTCTTCTCTCTTATCTTTTGTTTATACAATACGCCATGCACTTGGCCATAGAAATAGTCCTAAGTAAGTCAAGCTACACTACACATTCCTAATGCCTTCTTATTTGTAGTCCTTAATCTGTGTGTTTTCGGAGTTCTCTTATAGTACACTAAAATTCAAAACCGGCGTCTTATATCCTTTAAATGATTCCCCAACCTCTATAGCCAAGAGACGCTAAATCACTTTTGCCTATTTAACGGAACAACTTTATTCTTAAACAGTCTCAGGTAAAGGCTCTATATCAGGCCTTTGACTTTCACTAATTTCAGCCTCAAAAGCCCTCATATTGAGGGAATGGTAGGTGGCTGAAAAAGTTGAGGTTTTTTAACGCATCGCGTGTATCGTGTAATCCCTTCATAACTGCCGCCCAGTGGATCATAAGAGATGGCTCTCGGGGACATAATAGATATAACCATGAAGGCTGATATACCCCTCCTATGTTCGTATTAATTGTATTGAAAAACTCTTCCATCATCCTTTCCGGGTCCGCCTCTGGCCATTCGACTGTCCGGTCGCTTAGACGCTGCTCAGAATTCAAATACGTGCCTTCCAAAGGGGATGTATCGTTGACAGATGATATCGTGAAGGGAAATTGAACTTCCCTCCCACAAATAAACTCCATTACCGTATCGTCAAGGCGCCGGCAGATCGTATTCACTTGTAGATACATTTCTCCCAGGACAGACCTAAGCATCTCAGTAGAGGCATTTTCATCTCCGGTACAAGCCCTATTTCGGGTGTCAGCCCCATGTAAAAATGTGAAGTGGAGTTAGAATATACAATGCTGTATTTATTGCTGATTGGTAAAGGAGAGTCCCAGGGCCTATGGCGCATACTATCTGCCACAAGCGTGCTCCCATATCTCGAAACTGATGAAACTCCTCACAATGTTCTTGTGGTGGCTTTGTAAGTTGCCCCCGTCCAATCAAGTGGTATTTAAACAATGCATCCATTACCTCCATTGCTATTGGAGTCTTCTCAAGCTTCTCGTCATTTCCTGTGTAAAATTCGAATACTTTCGGAATTATCCTTAGAAGATACTCGGAATAAAGGAAAACTGAAACTTGCCATACGCCGAGACCTATTGGGAATTCGCGATCATTCATATACCTATCAAAAACCATTTCCGTCGCGTCGAGGACTTCTTCCAATGTCGGGTTGGCAGAATCTTGGAACCAGTAGACACTGGGCCGCAACATATATTTGGGCGGTGGAGGCATAGTTGTCGACATAGCTCAGGCTGATAGAATCTCTTCCTGCTTTTTGTGGTTAAAGTCTAAATTACAGTAGTTAAAACGAATGTCTGCTTGGAAATTCCGAGTGGGACTCGAGGAGCATACCGTTATCTGGGTTCTCAACGCCTGAAGTAATTGAGTAGCGGGCGGTGAAGGAATTGCCCTTGATGAAGAACGGGATAGTGGTACACTTGAATCTCACAGGACGATCGGTTATTTATAGCCGTGTCGTACTAAAGCTCCTCCCTCTCCGACATACTATCTAATTATCATGCCACTACCTGGCTAAGCTAAAAAGGGTGGGAGGTATAGGCAAGGTAATCTTACAGTACGCCCCGCTTCAAAATATTCGTGAAGCAGTAGGAGCCTCTCTAACTGAACAATTACCCATAGTGGAATAATTGAACAACATGGGTTGTGGTGGCGGTCCCCACCTATAGCCAAGTCACCTCTGCGGAGTACATGCCCCATGTTAAACAGGCCTTAAACTCTAATCCCCAGCTGTTCGTTGTCTAGGGCTAGCATGGCGCTAGTATTGGCTAACTGAACTAAGGACTTAGTCGTTCACCCAAATTTCATAGGTGTTCAGTAGGCCGCAATTACGATGCACCACTCTTACCGCCGCATTGAGATCCTAAACCTTGATTCTTTCTCATTCATCTCAGGGCTGTGCTCTGAAACTATGGAATGAAAAAGCAAAGACAGAATTTTGGAAAGCATCCTGAGGGGCAAATATCATAGGAAGAAATCTTTTTTATAGTATGACTTAGTAATCCGCGGCTTATAAATTTTTACCTCGACACTACTAGAGGAAACATGACTCTTGAAGAAAACGATATTCTTGTCTTATATTTACTGGGAAGTTCGCGATATTCAGTGTTTCTGATCTTCATAAAAGGTTGGTTTGAGTAGTCTAGATTATGCCCAACAAGACTTCACTAACCATAGAGAGCCATGCATTCTCATACATACCTCTGAGATAGAGATGACATAGTTAACTATTACCTAGAGATTACATAACAGCTTCCCATCCTGATTCATAACGATGACATCTACCCACTATCAGCAAGCAATATGTTTACGGGAAGGTTAAACTGAACTGACCTAAGTCGAGTGTATTGAATGTCACACTGCGCATGTCGCTCCTTCGGCATGAGCACGTAAGCTTTTCTCCTTCTAAAAAGCAAAGGCCGCAGCCGTGGACACATGTGGCAAATGCGTTTCCCCTGATCGGTGTGAGCTCATTCAACCTAATACAGTAAGGTGCGTACATACTTTGCAACAAGTCCTAACTGGCCATCCAAATTTGCGAGGCAACCGTTCAAATCAAGTTGTCTCTGGTTGGCCACATTATTCTCCGCTGTACATGTTGCATGCAAAATATGATCATCTTCAAGGTAATACCCATTACAAGTCGTGGTGAAGTTGTCAGCAATGGATATACCTGCCAACGAGAGCGTAACGAGGGTCAATCTGATCGACTTTCGCATTGTTGCTGGAGTAATTTATAATATACTAGCCGTAGACTGAATGAGAAACAAGAAATCAGGAATGAACATACGTCTTCGGATTCTTGATACTTGCGCAGATAGCTGAGAAATATGCTTCCTCGTACCTCACATATGCCGTGGTTGGCTGGTGACTGGTATTTTCATCATGATAGAATATACTCTTATATATATATACCTTGAATACTCTGTGGCGTAGCAAGCAATGAGGAAAATAGAGGGATGTATTGTTGGGCCCTCAAAAAATAGTCTTCCATACATTAGCAGAATAGGCTTCGAGTCCATAGGGCGTGTGATGCTTAAGAAACTACATGACTGAAGGCCCTCTGTGACAAGAAGGTACAGTGGTACTACTGTAGGCCTATCCTTATTCATATTACGGCCCTTACAAACTTCCACAGTCAGTGAGCACAATTACATTCAATGTCACGATGATTCCCTCCAGACTCACGGCTAAGATCTGAGTGCAAAAGCTTTTTATTGCATATCTCAAGACAATTATTCCCATTGTCGACCGGTTTTCTGGGAAAGGGATTGAGTACAGACGGTTGACACTTCTTGTACATAACACTTATTGGCGTTTCCAGGATCTATACCTTGGACATCATAGTGCTTGGTTAAATTCAATAGATTGAGAAAACATGTTTTGGCTATGCTGAACAGAACTTGCAAAGTCCTCCAAGGGCTGTGGATCTAGATCTCTCATGCCTGGGTCAAGTTCAAGCACCCCGTCTCTTCTCAATATACTGTTCTAAGAAATTGGCTTAGATGCTCTTCATTATTGGAATGAATTATGTACGTCAGGGAAGAATTGGTCTCCCTTACTGCACCTTTAACCAGCCTTGCAGGGTCAGTTACTGTAGGTTTCAGTGCCCCAGGGTTCTACATATTGCTGCTATGCAGCAGTCTTCAATTGATAGAGTGAAGCCTGCTTGCTGCCTTGCAGGGAACTATAGTGGAAGGCACTGCTTCTGTAGGGTGGCATTCATGACAGCCTTGACTACTGGGATTCCGGTACATAACAGGACCTGCGAGGTTTGGAAGAAAAGGAACATAAAAAGAATCTTATACTGAAAATACGCTTACGAGCGCTCTGTTCGTGTGAGTTACATTATAATAGTATTTTACTGTATTGTATAGTATTATTTTAACACTACTCCCATGATTCTCCTTTTACAGCTGTTAATTGTTCATCATGAGCTCAATAGTATTGACCTATATATTCTCTCATAAGATACCAAATCAAAACATCGATAATCCGCAGATGATTCGATATTTTCTGTGAAGTTTGAAAGCTAACACCTCGTGATTGTACACGTAAATTTGATAACAAAAACTGTTGAACATCTTCTGGAGGTCACTCTATAACATTGTTAAACATCCGGGGTTCTAATATGCACTCTACTTTTGATACTACGGTGTATTCCAGCATCAAATGAAAGTTTTGTAGCTGTATATGGAGTATCAATAAAGCATAACTTATGTCAAACCCTCTGGTTTATTTCATGAAATAGGGGCGGGGTATGAGATACTCCTCAATTCTGGGGTGGCCGCAAAGAACTCCATGATTATCAAGTTAACCACAATTGAAGCACCTCCAGAACATATGTTCCCGCTAGACTAGTCATAAGAGCCCGTGTCTCTCTGCAAAATTTATATATATATGGGCACTAATGTGTAGTCGAAGTATTCACTATATCTAAAGAATCACGAACTACCTTATGTGATACTGGCTGTTACAATGACCACCTCTAGTAACCAAAAGCGTACTTTCTGGAGGAATAAATGTCGAAGGGCGCTTGCAGAACATATAAGTAAGGTACCCATCGTTGCTCATACCGACATCCCAAGTCCGGATCTTGAGCGGTGGGATAAAATAGTTCGAAGCACTAGCCCCATGATTATTAACGACAGAAATGAACAAGAGGCCACATATTAAATAGTCTTCATCAGGTTGCTGACATAAAATATAGACAGTCGACTTGGCTTTGAGATTCCACCTGATAAGATCCGCTTGCAGCCACGTCACGAAGATCCATACAGATGGCATGTTGCTGATCACCTAAAGCCCCTCTTCAAGTCAAATTTAAGCAGTGGCAGTGTTGGAAATTTTCAAAAGATCTGCCATGCCTTGAAAGCCCCAGACCTAATAGAAGCAATACATCCGGAGGCTTTGCAAAATGACCAGGACCTTGAGGTATATATGACTATATCCTATTCTTTTCCTATATCTAGTTGGCTGATTATCTCAGACCGAGAAACAAAACTCAGTCCCCAGTAGCAGCTTCGCAGCTACGATACAAAGGCTCGAGAAGGAAAAGCAGGACGTGCTGGCTGATAGCCAACGACTGTGCGAAAAGCAGGAACAGAATCTCTTAAGTGCTCAAGTCGAATGGGAAACAGAGCGTCGGAAGCTACAGGAGGAAATATCACGGTGGAAGGATGCCGTATCGTCCTATGACCTCAGGGCTCAAGAGTTGAAAAGAGTAGTCTGCCCCGCCCTGGAAACACTAAACCTTCATTTACCTGGGCTGTTCGTTGCGATTCATGCCGAGCAACACTTGGTGGATTAGCAGCATCCGAGAAGTGATACGCGTTGAGATTTATATGAGGCTGCTTTGCTTAGCTTAGTTTCATTTTATTCTTCCACGTCATCTTATTATGTGTTCTAAGTTTTTACGTTTACATTGAACGTGTTACCATCGTCGTGGGAGTTCACAAAAGGTCTGGGAAGAGAGCCCAGCAGGAATCGAAGTCTCCTGCCGCTGTATTCTTTTTTCTCATGAAAACATTCTGTAATATGAGTTAGCGGCAACTCGTTGACATACTTAAAGCACTAAGGCCATTGCATTATAGACTATTATTGTGTCAGTTCTAACTTAGTAGATATTAAACCGATTTTTTGCATTTTTATTTATCGTCCACTTGGTTGAGCCTACGTTCTCGAATATACCTAACAAACATCGTGGCATCTTGCAATCTCATTATAAACTCAGGGAGATTATGATCTCAAGAGCCACTTACTGGGCCTCTTACTGTAGTCTTAGCTTTTTCCGTATTTCATCATTAGCCTCGGTAAGTATGTTCCAATCTAAACTTTCCTATGCGAATGTTTTGAATCACATTCTCAGGCGGGAGGCGGTCAAGGTTCACTTTGACACATGCTACAGTATAAATAGTTCTAGATATTTTGCAGTTGTATCAGATAACACTAGAGAGCTTACCAATTTCCCTCTTTAAGCTTTTCTGATCGATCTCCATCTAGAGTGGAAGATCTATCTCCAGAACATAATGATAGACAGCAGAGCAAGAGTTGCACCTTTTCCTGAAGAATATGGGTGAAGTAGTGATGACTAGTGTAACATGATATTGTGAGGACAAATAGGAATGTGACTAATAACCTACCTTTGCTATTTATTAATCAGCGAAGGAGATCTGATGAGCTGCGCGCCGCATGCGCGCGGCAACAGTGGTCCGCGTTGGGATAGACGGGTCGCAATCAAGTATACCTTGGTAAAAGCTTCAAAGGAAGAAGGGAAAGCATTTAGCAGCACTTCAATGCTGTTGGGAGGCAGCAAAGGTAAGAAAATCAAGTACCTGCCACATCTTTTGCTATTACATACTAAGAAACCCAATACTCGCCTTTCTAGAGGCATCGCAACGGTTCCAAAATGGCACGCTATGGAGCTGAGCAATGAGAATGGCAAATTAGGCCATGATGGAAGAGTATGAGACCCTGTATTAATCTTTATTAGATGATAGAAGCTATATATATCCCCTAAGACATGATGGTGGTACCCCGCGTATTATTTCATTGCAGAGGTAGGATTGAATAGAAGCAACCGGCAAACCAACTCGCGTTATAAAAAAGAGAAATCGCTTATGCGAGCTGGGTGTGGCCTGCAATATCCGATAGTACATTTAGATTCGAGTTAGCATTACATATAAGCTACGTCGAATTTTAGCCTAGGTGTGAGAGGTATTGCTCCGAACTTCTTAAACCAGTTCACCTTTAACCTATCTTTCGGTTTTAGTACCATTACAGTAGATATATTTCGTCTATATTATTGGTTGCTGATCTTGCTTAAAGATATCTCTAAATACACAGTTTATACAGAACATTATACTAACTTGGCTATAAATGTCAAGCTCTTCGGACATTTACCATTCCCATCGCACAATAAATATATTCTCTAATCATAATATCGCTTCATATTAAGCTCGAAGGGGCGAAACCATAGCTTCTTCACCATTATTTGCCTTTCTGTCAAGAGTTCTGAAGGCCAAATGCCAATGTATATACCATGGTCCAAAAATTCGTGACCTGCCGTGTTTAAAGACCCATCCTTCAGAAATACCTTCAGCAGTTCTAGTAAGATTCTTGATTTCTTCATGCGTTCGTGTGCGAAGCATTGACACAAAACCATCAATGCCCAGGGCCACCCAGATCACAAACATAAAGCACATTTGCAAGAGCGATCCCTGGAGTAGTGCGTGCACGAAGGGTAGTGGAGAAATAGTAGTCACACACCAGAACAAGAACGTGGTAAGATCTCTTTGGAGGAACTCGAAGATTCTATGGCCCCGTTAGTCCGGGTTTCTGGATGTCTTGTTGCAAGACATACATATATGCATCTGTAAACTGCATCGCACTGTGCAAAACCTTTTTGGCGGAAGCATCATTGAAATGATGAAACGAAATGTTAAATATCCGGCACTCCTTGCCAGATGTAACTTTTCCCAGCTCTGCCGCATCGACAGAGTCCTGGATAAAGGAAATATTTTTCTGCTCTTTCTTAATAGCCTTCCATTCCTCCACACGGGGCTTGATATCAGCCAGGATGAATTGCGCCGAATGACTGTATTCGGTTCCAAGAGCTTTCTCAATGGCCGGGATAGGACCCCCCGCTCCGGCACAGGGGTCGACAAAAGTATATAAAGAAGCGTCCGGGAGGTTCTCAAGGATGATATTTGCAGCAGCC